GTAGCACTGAAGGAGAGAAGTGGTCAGATTCTGGATGTATTTTGGATCCAGGTGGTGTGTATCAGAGACAGGTCAAAGATGATTCCCAAGAGTTTGGTTTGAGTAACTGGCCAGATGAAATTCCATTAATGAAATGGAGAGTACAGTGAGTAGCAGAAGTTGGAAGGAAGGTATAATGAGGTGTTTAGCCTTGCACACATTAAGTCTGGAATGTTTTTTGGATATCTCAGAGGAAGTGCCAAATAAAAAGTTAGATTCACCTTTCCATAGTGCAGGATTCAGATTTGGGAGAGCCATTAGCATATACATGGTACTTAAAGTCACAAAACAGAAGGTCTCTCAGGAAGTGAGGGATAGAGAAATGAAGAGGCAGAAGGACAGGGCTTTAAGGTGCCACAGAGGTCAGAGAGAAGAGGAGTAGTCTGCCAGAAATCTGAACAGGGGCATCTTAAGAGATCAAAGGAAAACCAGGAGTATTATTAGGAAAGAAGTGAAAAAACAAAAAGTCTATTTAGAGGGAGGGAGTAACCAGCTATCTCAAATGCTGCTAATACATCATAACGAAAAAAACTTGGGAGCACAAGTTCCATTTAGAGATATAGCCAAGGACAGAAATCAATAGGCTAAACAATAAGTAAGTGATCGTTTGCACACATTCTGCATCAGCCAGTTCAAAAGTCATCTCAAGGAGAGAAAATAGGAAGTGGAGATGTGTTCAGCATCTGAAAAGGTCTCTCTTTGCCTCATGCAAGCAGAAGAGAAAACCTCATGGGGACTGACTAGAGATTATCCTAAATACCCAAGTTATGGTGAAAGTTTTTTTTTCCATCAATGCTACTGAATGATATATAAACAGTCAAAATTCTTAGATAAGAGACTTAGCTTCAGTTTGAATTTAAACAGATTGTATCAGCGAAAAATAGCTGTAATGTGACAATGGCCTTGAACATCTTCACGACTGAAAAAATTCTAAATTGATAGAATAAACAAGAAAATGTCTCTAATAAACAAAACTAACTTTCCAACATTGTCTATAAATGCTCTATGTCAAACACTCATTTCTCCTGGATTTCAAAAATACATTGCAGATCTATTGATAGCATTAGCAAACTTTAATTCCTTCCTATTTCTCCACCCTTGTTCCACTCTGTTAAGTCCTCTAGGTTCCTGAAAGGCCCTCAGTCACAACTGAGCTCTTTGCCTCTCAGTGTGTGGTCCCTGGGTGAACAGCATCGGCGTACCTCAAGAGCTGCTAGAAACGCAGACTTCTGGCCCCTCCCCAAACATCCGCAGGTGGTGCACGAACACCTGCAAGTTTGAGAAACACTGGATTAACTGATAATTGATTGCCTAAGTGTATGTTTGTTACAGCAGGGCTTCCCTCCTCTTTTTCTTCAGACCACTGCCAAGTTCCCTCCCAGGGCATGAAAAAGACCGTTACTTTTTAATCAAAGAGCTTTAACAGCTAAAAGGTGTCCAAAATCATTTGTCCTCAACTTTTGAGGGATAAGAAAGTAAGGTCCAGAGATGTCCCACGACTCCTCTAAATCACACATATAATAGCAGAACCCTGCTTCTGTATGTACCCTTTTCCTGGTCTCGAAATTCTTTTAGGCTGCCACCATCCCACAGCTTAATACCCCAAAAAATGAGAAAGTGGGTGTCAGTGGTGAGTTTTTAGTTATGCTTTGCGTTGTTTTAATTTTTAATAGGAGTATTAGTGGGTGTGATTTTTAAACCTGCATCCAAGAAATGGCTCTTCCTCACAAGAACACTATTTAAACTACTTCAAACCAAGGCTGTACCAATTATTATACCACAGCAAAGTGGAAAGTAATGCACAGCAAAATTTTATAAACTCCACTACATCAAATTCCTGCATATTGCTTCCCATAGTTTCTTCTGTCCCAAGTGGCATCATGAAACATTATGGACAATAATTTGCTGAAAAATAAAGGTTTACATACTTAAAGAGTTAAAAAAAAACAAAAGAAACCAGAACAAAAAACCCATATGGGCAATCATCAGCAGCTTCCATTTGTTTCCCAGTACCTCTTAGGGCTTCAAAGGCAAAAATCACAAAATTTCATTTGTGGAAAGGCTGCATACTATTAATTTTCTTTTCTAAAAAATTGGTAGGTTTTAAAATCACAGCTTAGATTTTCCTTTGGGTTTCCAGATGGATCTGATAGCATATCCAAACAATTCCAGTTAAGGTTTCTGAATATCCTTTTTTGTCTTCAACAGTATTAATAAAGATCATTTGGTTCAAAAAAGCAAACACACCTACAAAACATTTTCTTGGTATACAGCAGCTGTCTTAATAATAACTCTATGTATAATTAATTTTTTCTTAATCTTGGTTTTAAATTCAGCTAAATTAATCTAAACTGCAGTGGTCTACAAAGTAGACATAAGTGGAAGCAATAATCCTTTTTTTTTTAGCATATGAGAATGTATTACTACTGTGTTTTCACCATCAAAACTTACGATCTTGGTCTCTTCTTCTTGCCTTTGATAAAGCCAAAAGAGAAACACTGGCTACTTTGGCAACCTTAAAGCGGACTCCAGGAAGGTCACCCACAGCATGACCTTTCAGTCAAATCCAGCAACCAGAACTTCTTCATTTTCTTCAATAAAATTCAAGCAACCATTATTGGATACAAAGGATGTGATTTTTTTTTTTTTTTTTTTTAACCATTTGGTCAGCTGGACTGTGCACACTTCCTGATGGCAGGATTTGGCTATTTGGCTTTAACTCTTACTTTTTCTAGCACAATTCCCTCTGCATGAGAAGCACCTTCAAAAGGCTTGGCCTTTAGGGCTGTGCCCACATGTGTTTCTTTGTACTGTTTATCAAGCCACTTCAGGGGCGGATAGGGAGTAGCATGGCAGTATGAAGACCAAAACACTTGCCCATCCTGCCAGTACCACAGGCCTGAGTGAAAGGAATAATCCTATTGTAACGAGGAATTAATAGGTATTAGTACATGCATTCCACTTGAATCTCAGGCTGAAATTTGCTTTACCGTTTGCTGGGGACTCGTTGAAGAATAGGTCAAGTGGAGGATGCTCAAGAAGCATGTGACAGTCCTCAATGCAATCCTTTAAAATTTTTGTCACCTTTTTCTCAAATATGTTCACAGGATCTCACATATACTGCACTTGTATTAAAAAGCCAACATCCTTCATAAGAAAAGAACCATTCTGTATCCCCAACATCATTATATGGCATTGGAGGATCAATCTTGCTCACAAAACAAAACATAGAAAGGGCATTCATGCTCCTAGCTGTTAATTCCATAAGTTTTCTTACCAACTGCCTGGTCAGGGGTCCTGCCCCACCTTTCTAAGAGCACTCTTTCCACAAATGTCCCTTTAAGAACATCTGCCAGGTTCCCAGAACTGGACGGATGAGAGCAAGAATGGAGGGTGCCAAGAAAAGCAACCCTTGGCTTCACTACTCCAGCTTGTTCTCTTGCTCCAACTTGGTCCGTGTTCCAGACAGAGATACAGCACCACCAGCTCCACTGAGTCAGAGTGGTCCCTGAAAGGACTTCCCCTGCATCCCTTCTCTGTCATTCGCAGAGACTAATGGTAGAAATTGCCAATCCCTTGGAAGAGACCAGGCAGGTAGGAACAAGCCTTGCTGCTCACAAAGGGGAAATGATGGAAGAAGTGGTGATTGGATGTAGGAGAAAAAGGGCAGCAGTGGTGGAAAGGACACCTCCTCACTCCATCCTAACTTTAAGCCATCTTTGCCCTTGTTGCCATAGGATTTTCTTTTATTGTGTTATATAAAACATGTAACACAGAACTTACAATTAACCATTTAAAAATGTACAGTACAGTATTAACTATTTGCACATGGTTGTGCAACAGATCTCTAGAACTTTTTCATATTGCAAAACTGACAATACTCAGCTGAAAAACTCCTCATTTTCTATTTCCACCATCCCTAGTAACCACCATTCTACTTTCTGTTTCTTGCTAAACTTTCTGTTTCTGCTTTTTATCTCATGGAAGTGGAAAAATGCAGTATTTGTCTTTTTGTGACTGGCTTATGTCATTTATCTTAAATAATTGTCCTCAAGGCTCATCTGTGTTGTTGAACACTAAAATTTCCTTCTTTTTAAAGGCTAAATTGTATTACACTTGGTGTATACACCACATTTCCTTATCCATTCATGTTGATGGACACAGGTTGTTTGCACATCTTAGCTATAATAGCGCTGCAATGAACACAGGAGTACAGATATCAGAGTACCGGCTTTCAAATCTTTTGGTTATATACCGAGAGCTAGGATTGCTGGAGCACATGGTAATTTTTTTAATTTTTGAGGAGCTTCCATACTGTTTTCCATAGTGGCTAAGCCAATTTATATTTCCACCAACAATGCACAAGAGTTCCAATTCCTGCACATCCTCCCCAAAACTTGTAATTATCTGATTTTTTTGTTCATTTTTTAATTGGATTGTTTTATGCTGTTATGAGTTCTTTACATACTCTGGATGTTAACCCTTTATCAAATACGTGGTTTGCAAATATTTTCTCACATTTTGTAGATTGCCTTCCTACTCGCGATTACTTCCTTTGCCGCGCGACAGTTTGTCAGAGCACAAGGCGCTTCACAATGAACCCTACTGCGCAAGTCCGAGGCTGGGCCGCGATGCCTTCTGGGCGTTGTAGTCCCGAGTGACCGAGTGGGGATGGGGTTGGGGGGAAGGCAGAGTCTTTCTGAGTAGACAGTGGCTAGTAACAGATTTCTACTGGGCAGGGCTAGAATGAACACTACGCTGTCCTTCTTAGCAGAGAACGGTAATTGGCACAATTCCCTTTTGTGTTTGGATAGTTCCTACCGCCCAGGCTCGGAGAAACACCCACCACCCCGCTCCACCCTCGCCGTGGACCAGGCCGCGCCTCTCCGGAGCCCGGTCCTGCGCCTTCGTGGACAGGGCTTTCCCGCGAGGGCGGGGCTCGTGCCAAGCGGCTGGGGCGGGGCGTCCGCGTTTCTCCGCAGCCTCTGACGGTGCACGACCTCTCCTTTCAAGGCCGAGAGGCGCGGGAGGCGCGGAGGGACTATCCATGGACCGGGCGGCCGTCGCGAGGGTGGGCGCTGTGGCGAGCGCCAGCGTGTGCGCCCTGGTGGCGGGGGTGGCGCTGGCCCAGTACTTGTTCACCTTGAAGAGGAAGACGGGCCGGAAGACCAAGATCATCGAGATGGTGAGTGCGGGCTCTTGGCGCGCTGAGCGCCTGATGGGCTGCGGGGCGTTGCGTCCGGCCTCGCCTGCTCTCACCGGCCGCTGCCGGAATGCGAGGCGCGCACGGGGGCCCTTTTACCCCGTGTGCAGCGACCCTGCGGGCTCAGTGACCTGATGTGACCGGCATCACTCGGGTTCCCGTGGCCTTTGTTATGTCTCCACTTGAAACAAAACGGCCGCAATAAATAGGTGATTTGGAAACAAGCAATCTCGTCTTGCAAAACCCGTTTCTTAAGAAGTAAACTGAACGTTCTGGACAGGATGCCCCTTCCTTCCAGCATCCCGGTCAGAGTCTTGCAACTAATCCAATTACAATAGTTGTAATTTTTGCACCGTTGCTAAAATGGATTATATTATGAGAACGTGTAACTTTCGCAGTGGTGGAAAGAAGGCCAGTTAATCCATTTGAAATTCAGGTATAGTGTGTTTTGTATACAAATTCCTGTCTGAAACTGCCAGGAAGTATTTTTGTATTCATTTTCCTCCCAAACCTCTTGCATAACATTATTTTAAAAATTTACGTCCAATTTTATTGTAAGAGAGTGTTTAAAGAATTCTATTTGAAATACATTTTAAGCAATATTTGCTTCAAAGTTGAGGGTGTTTTTAGTTTAGTTTTTTTTTTAAATTAAAGCTCACTGATCACAGATTACTGGGTTGCATTCCAGTGTACTTAGGGGAGTGTATAATCCCATTTATACTTCCAATAAAGTGCTATACACTTGAACATCTGGGGCGAAATATTTATGTCAAGTAAGTTAACAATCTATTACTATACTAAATAATATCATTTAAAGTCCATATGCTTAAGTCTCAGGCATATATTCTAATCCAAGAAACTATTTGCCCAATTAGTTGCTATTGGCGCAGGTTGAATACAGATTTTCTCACTAAAACTTAAAAAATTAACTCCCACGTGTCTCATATGCCAATAATATTCCTTGAACCAAATTATTCTTTGGTTATCACTATTAATCCACTTCTGTACCCACAGCAGCAAATGTTTTTATCTCAGAAATTTCATTTTACTTATGTTGCTGTCCTGCTTAGAGAACTTTGGTGACTTTCTCTTGTACCAAACCAAAAATGTAGCATACATATTTGGAAAAAAAAGACTAATTGCAGTATCTTCCTTTATGTACTAGATTGGTTGGTCTGTTACATCACTTCTTTTCTAAACCAAGTAGAGAATAATCAGTGCTTTCATAAAATCCCACAATGATACCATCATAACAGTTTTCCATCTGTGTGAAAAATAATAAAAGGCCCATCAGGCAGACCAACTTACTTATTTGTATGGAGACAAGTCATCTTTACATATACTTGTATACATTAATGTTACATTATTTCAGATTGTAATATATGTGTACTGCTAGTAGCTTTTAAAAGGAAAAAGTCAAGAGAGCTCTATGTTTTTAACTTCTAATTTTAATAGGTTTCTTCTTCAAATGGGATAAACACTTAATTGGAAGTCTGAAGACCTGGCTTCAAATCCTGGTTTTATCTCTTTTTAATAGTTGTGTTTTAGGGGGCATGCTTATTCCACTGTCTACCCCATCCCCAAAAACCTCTACCTTAGAGAATCTGTATAGCCATGGATATCCAGTGGACATAGCTCAGACTGGTCACAGGTAATGGAACCAGTGGCAACCACCTAACCAAGGTGGGCATATCCAAAGCTGGCTAGGTAAACAAATGACTTCTACTACTGAGTTTAAGATAATAAAGCACTTTAAGAGTTTTTGATTAAGAGAGTGGAAGAGTTGCTAGTAGGCTTTATATGCTACAGCTGAAATGTCCATAGGGGGCAGCAAGATAAAGATACAGAGGAAGCCAGTCAGAAGATAAGCTTGAGATGCTCAGACCTAAGAGATGAGTGGTTTCCCAAAGTTGATGTTTCTTTCCTTCCAGCCCTAATTGTTCATTCTTTTGTGTGTTACCTGGGATCCTGTAACAACCAGCCCTGCCTATTACTGGAGCTAGTTTGTGTAGATTTCTCTTCCTTGCACCAAAAATCTCTTCAAGATTATTAATTAATTTATCATAGTCAATGCACTTTATTTTTAAATAAACTTGTTATTTTAGAACAGTTTTTAAGTTTACAGAATAGTCAAGCAGATAAGTAGAGTCCTCTTGTATTCCCAACCAGTTTTCCCTATTACTAACATCTTAACATTAGTGTGGTACATTTATTGAAATTAATGAATTTGGTGTTTGTCCCAAGTTTCTGGCACACAGCTCCTAAAGTACTTGAACTCTGGGAAGTGTTAAGAGTGTTTTTTTGTATGTTGATAAGATGAACTGGCATGGGATGGGACTAAGTTGCCATAATTATCAAGGCATGGTAAGAGGATTGGAACATTCAGTCTCACCCCTCCACCTCACCCCCAGTTTCTCTGTAGGGGGAAGGGACTAGAGTTTGAGCTAATCACTTTTGGTCAGTGATTTAATCAATCTTACCTATATAACAGAACCTCAATAAAAACTTGTAAAGGAGATTTCTAGATTGGTGAATACCTTGAGGTGCTGAAAGTATGGTGTGCCTGCAAAGGGCATGGAGGCTGTCCACCCCATCTCCCATACCTGCCCTGTGCTTCCCTTCCATATGGCTGTTCTGGAGCCATTATAGCAAATTCTGGAACCTGAGGAGGGGTTTCTGGAAACTCTCAAACTTACAGCTTGTCAGTAAGAAGTATGTGTAGCTCTGGGAGGAGGGGTTTCCCACCTGGGGCAAGTTCCTTATGAATCTGGTGAGACCAAAGAAAGGCAAGGGAAAGATGTTGGGAATGAAAGGGCTTTGTTCTCATGGCTCAGTCTCTTCTGGGTCTCACCAGCAGCTCTCTCGGTTCCCTCCCCATTCTTAGGGCTCTGAACCCCCAGCTGCCCCTCTCTCTCCCTGTCACTGCTGAGAACCCTGTCTCACATGGCTCCTGAGCTCTCTTCATCCATCCAAGTTACTCCATTCCCCTCCCACTGGGAGGAGCTCTGTGGGTGGGTCCCTGGTGACTGGCGGGGGCCTGACCAATTATGTACCAGGAATGGAGGGAAGAAGAGACTCCACCCCTACCTTGGACTGGCAGGCAGTCTGGTACCTGACCAGTGGCTCTGTTGAAGATAAACATCCCATAAATGTGCACATGTGCCCTTATTATATAAGCAGTGGATGCTATTAAGGCCTGGCGGGACTCCTGGTCAGAAAGTTCCATTTTCCCAACAGAGTGGCAACTTGGGACTTGAGACTGGTATCTGAAGTGGAGGCAGATTTGCAGACTGAGTCCTTAATTCATGGAATCAGACATTAACTCTAGATAGCATCATAATTGAATTGTCTAGACAGTTGGAAGATTGCTTGGTATGAGGATAAAACTCACAGCTTTGGTGTCAGAAGTGCTGTATATAAACACAGTTGTGTAGACATTTAGTAATATTTGGCCCATAGTAACTACTTAATAAATAGTAGGACACAGATGATCAGCCTCTCACATTCTACAGCCATTTTTCCTAAGGGACACTAGTATAGGGCATAAGTTTTAGCCACTGGTGTTATTTTCTCTCATCTTTATCTCTCCTAATCCTTCATTATAAAAACTTCTCTAATTATGCTCAATAAGGATGACTTGCAGTTATTGTAAACTGGACCAAAAAGATAAAGGTTGCCAAACATGTATATAGAAGTTGATACACATGCAGTAGAACTTTGCACAAATGCAACTAGTATTTGGAGATGAATTATATTTGGGAATGAATTACAATATATAATTGTAAGCCTGAATTCCTCCTTTCCCCCGACCTATCATGAATTCTTGAAAGTTTCAATTCCTTCCTCATATAAGTTGACCATCACTTCTCACTTTCTGCTGAGTATTAACTCACTATTCCAATCAAACACACCTACTCAGCAGGTATGATCTGTTCTCTCTGTGGCATTTTTGGCCAGTAATGTCTACTTTCTTTAAAAACAAAGATTCTGTACCAAAGCTTGAACTGATTGGAAGTTTCCTGCCAGGCAGAAAGTTTCACTCCAATACAGAATTTAGGCTTTGAAGGATGAGGCTCTGAGGGAGAAATGTAACCAGAATGATGCATGACAACTTTAGTGTTTTTTACTTGGTTGACTTTTATACAGTCATTGCTTCTCTCCAAATAGTATTTATCTACTTTCAAATTAATTTACCCTAAATATGAAAACATTAACAATGAAGATCTTCCTCAATTTACAGTTTGGTTTCATCTCTATAAACCCATCATTAAGTTGAAAATGCATTTAATATACTAACTGAACATAGCTTAGCCTCTCATACCTTAAATGTGCTCAGAACACTTACATCAGCCTAAAATTGGGCAAAATCTTCTAACACCAAGTGTGTTTTAAAATGAAGTGTTGAATATCTCATGTAGTTTATTGAATATTGTAATGAAAGTGAAAAGCAATGGTTTGGTTTGTGCCCGTTTACCCTCGTGACAGCGTAGCTGACTGGGAACTGTGGCTAGCTCCTGCTGCCTGGAATCATGAAGACAGAATATCATGTCTCTAGCCCAGCAAAAGATCAAAGATCAGAAATTCAAAGTATGGTTTCCCCTGAATGCATGTGACTTTTGCACCATTGTAATGTCAAAAAATTAAAAGTTGAACCATTATAAGTTGGGGACAATCTGTAAAAAGTTTTAGGGAAATAGTAGCAACTAATTTTTCCTCATAAAAGAAAAACCCAGTACTTGAAACTTAGTGTTAGTGATTTAAAAAATTGCAGTGTACAGATTTAAGAATTAAATTTTTTTCTACTGAATTCAAAAATACATCAAGAGAATCTTACACCATGATCAAGTGGGATTCATTCCAGGGATGCAAGGATGGTACAACATTCGAAAATCCATCAACATTATCCACCACATAACAAAAAGAAAGATAAAAACCACATGATCATTTCCACAGATGCTGAAAAAGCATTCGAAAAATTCAAC